ATACTTCCTCATCAAGTATACATTTGTGCATAACTCGAATGTATCAGTAATGGACAAGTGTTCGCGCATAGGGGCGGCAGTATGGGCATCAGCAATATGGCCATAATTAGGCCTACGTTAAGCAAACTGTCGCGATATAAATGCGTCATTACTATAGCCATCTCAGCCAGAAGTTGCGGTACGCACATAATTTCAATTTTGGGTAAATAAAATCTTCTCACATGTCGCGAAGAAAATCAACGGGCTCATGGCTCTATCTGTAAATCTGAACTTTCTGAAACGTTCTCCATACTTTGCTCGTTGTACAACAACATCAAATCTACACAGATGATTCCTGCGGTTTGTCGATTTCATCTATTTAATATGTAATGTTCTAATCCTATAATATTATACTTTTTTTTTCTTCGCTGGCAATTTGTTGCAGATTTTTCAAGTAGCTCGTCCATTTTGAACACCGCTAACCCATATCTAACAGGAACATTAAAGAACAATAAATATTACATCATTTCAAATTCAGCTAAAGAGAAATTAATGAGAAGTCAACTAGAGGCGGATGCAAACAAAGAACAGCATAATTCATTTGGAAGATCATCTAATACAGCCCAGACCTACCTGTATGTTATGATTTTTCAAATCGTGTCTGTCACTCGTTTTCCGTTAGTTACTTAAAGCTTTATAGCGCCTGTTTATGGCCGGTTTCTTAGTCGAGTATTGATTTTCTATTTTCGCAGTTTTTTTTCTCATATCTTACATACTGTTCTGACTTTATGAAGCGTCGAAATTGTCGCTTTTTGAAGAGTAGAGTCGATCACGTCAGAGCCCAAACTCAAAAAAAAAAAACATTAATTACAGACAAAACTATGGCAAATAAACCTCCAGAGAAAAAAAAAGCTTTTTAGTTAGCATTTGGCGATCACGCAGCGACATGACGAGTGAGCATCGATAACACGCAAACAGAAACTTATAGTGAACAGTTCTGAACGATTACTGCAGTTGTTATTTAGTATTATCTTGCAAAACTTCTCCACAGTTCGGTCGTACCTTTTTGTATCCGTTTTAAATAATAATGGTAGTAATCAGTGTAATATACATATGCGAAGAAAAACTATTGAAAGGGTTAAAACTGTTAAACAATAATTTTTTAGCCCCGTACAAGTTACAAAACCGAGTTATTTAACTTTTTGCATAACTAAAAAGCATAATCGGCGTTTTTCTTCACGCAAAGAACATTTATGACAAAATATCTGGACCGCCGCTTAGCTTCAACAAGCTGGTATCGATGGATGCGGATGAACTGAGATGTCTCGTCCTGCGGCTTTACCACGACACCTTTCGGTGAGTATTTCGTATTTCTTATTGCAAAAGCGTTCTATTAACTGCTTGCAAGAACCCTTTGTAGCAAAAATGGTACGAATATTGACGAGATATCGTAGTGTATAGGCTAATCGAGCTCAATTGTGAACGATGCTAGCTCCACAGTAATTAGCTTTTGATTCATTTCATCGGGGGCTGAATCACGTGTATATGATACGCCGTAGGGTTTTGACAATAGTATATCTGTGCGTATATATTCGTATCATGGATTTTTCGTGCTAGACTTCAGATGATTCACTATGGACGGAAGCGGGCCCTGATGGAAGCTCGGAAACGAAAGAGTATCCTGGAGATGAAACGCCGCTTTCGAATCCACCATTCTATCATGTAGTAAGAAACAAACAAATATGTCAGCCGCACTTGAAAATCAATACATTTACTAGTTTTAAATATTGATATAAATATTAGTAATTTAAGAGTTTAGCTTTGATGTACTGTACTCGACAAAAAAGTCTCTCTAGACAATAGAACCTCCAAAAATTAATGTCGTAAATCCTATTATCGTGATGCTGATATTGATGATGACGATCGATGATAATTGTGATTATTATTAATATATAGATCACAAATATGATATTTGCTTATATTGTGATTATCGCATTGGGCGCTGCGGTGCGCCTAAGAACAGACGCTAAGCTAATGTATCTTTGCACATAGCAATATAATTGTTGATATATGTTGCGTTCAAATACCTTCGGCAGACGGTAAAGGTCGCCGTCAAGCAAACTCGCGATAGCAACTTGTACGCGTGTATGCATAGGTTATGCAATAATCCTTTCTGCTACGACTGGGAAACGAAGTCATTTCTATATAGCACCCTTGTGTTACCAATGCAGAAATACACACATAGGTAGACTTTATAAGCAGTCTGTGCAAAATCGAGTAATGTTTTGTGTTCTGTTATCTGGTCTGCTGCTTAGCTCGTCTGCTAAGCAGACGGTCACGTAGAAAGAAACAGGGCAAAGCATACGAGGACCTTGTAAGGTAAAAGAGATTGGCACCACCTATCCTTGCGCGGTACTACACTAAAATGAACTATCAGAATGGGCACTAGTCACCGTATTATTTCGTTTTCGATGTTGTCACATGATAGGAAATTTGTTCATCTATTGAACGAAAAGTGGAGGCATTAATCATATCTTCGCCACAGGCACGGGAAAAACACCGGCGTTACTTGAGCGACCTCATCAAACCTCCAGTTATCTGGAGAGCTTGACGGGCGACGGACCAAATCAGATACTTACAATAATTCCAGTTTACTAAGCTTTATTGAGAGTGGTGCGACTGGCCCGGTATTGAGCTGCACTTGGCGATTCATGCATAGTTAGAATCACCGATAACAGATCACCGAATTACGTCGCAAACATGTCGAAGGCGCAGCGAAGCGCGACTGACTACTACTTATCTCTCTAGTACTACCGAAACGCGTTATACATCCAAATTGGCGAATACCTCTTATTGAGGTCATAATGAGTCGTGCTTTGCTATTTGCGACGTTGTTCTTATAACACACGAGTAGCTGTCGATCCTATATGGAACTCGCGTTAGACAAACGACGCCGCTGTTGCATATTATAAGCCTTGTGCTGGCGATAAGGTTGGCAATTCAGAGTGTACACGCTTGTTACCTCTTCGGTTCATTTGGTGAGATAACAATGCTCCGTTAGAGATTGGCATAATAAAGTTACATTTGCAAGCGTCTTTGAATAGATTGTCAGCTTATAATAAAGGACATAAAATAACTTTGGCGTAGCTTGTTCTTCTGGCTAGCTTAACACTGTGAGCAAATAAGGAAGCATGCCTAGCATAGCAGCATTCGGTAATATCCAATATGTGCTTTTTTTTTTTAAACCTCCCGATGACTAAGCTTTATTTTGATTTATTGCTTGAAGCTTCCTTATAAAGTAAGGTTGAATATACTGCACACTCTTGAAATACTGGCGAATCACCGCTCTTGAGCCACGTGTCTAAGAGGCTACATGTTACTGGATGTAATAGCGTCGAGTTCATTAATACCCCAACGCCTTTAATGCACACTGCAGACGTTGACGTCGAGATAGCTTAGTCGTCGGCGCGGCTGTGCGTCGTGTATTTAGAGCGAACATCTGAAACAATTGTGGGTCTCTACGTACCACGCAGCGCTAGCGCTAGAAATCAAGGGAAATTTGTGATTTTCTGCACCCCTTAGAGCAATTCAGAACAACGACAATGTCTCAACGTGACTACCCATCCAGTTTTTTGGTCGATGGTCATCAGGAGTTACCTGGAGATGATAGCACGTTCCTATTCACCTCGGAATCGGTCGGGGAAGGCCATCCGGACAAGATGTGTGACCTGATTAGTGATGCGGTTCTTGACGCGTACCTTGCGGTTGATCGAAACGCGAAGGTGGCGTGCGAAACAGCAGCAAAGACCGGTATGATACTTCTCGCTGGAGAGATTACAGCCAATGGTACGATCGACTACCAGCAGGTGGTGCGTGACACTATCCAACAAATCGGCTACGACTGCAGCTCAAAAGGATTCGATTATAAGACATGTAACGTTGTCGTAACAATAGAGCAACAGAACCAACACATTGCCAGTGGCGTGCACAAAAATCGCGACGAGGATTCGATTGGGGCCGGCGACCAGGGTCTAATGTTTGGCTATGCATCAGACGAGACTAACGAATGTATGCCACTCACGATCGTACTTGCGCACAAAATGAATCAACGGCTTGCCGAACTGCGACGCAGTGGAACGTTCTGGTGGGCACGTCCCGACTGTAAGACTCAGGTAGGGAGCGCGTTTGATGAGCCAGGTGACATCCTTAACGAGCTAGTCACCATAATTTCGAATTATTACGCGGTAATCACCGAGCTCAATTTCGAATTGAAATACAACGAAGCCTTAGCTGCTAAATGAGGAAGTTTGATTTGTTCTAGAGAAAGGCAAGTCGAAATACAGTGATCTATAAATACACGCGGTTACTGTTCCTTGGAAGGAGCACATTTCTACGGTAGTGCACGCATCTCGACTGATGGCTACGTTTTTTTTACAATTCTGGAATTTTGGGTCCGATCTGCCGTTAAGCATTGCTTGAGACTGCTAGCTTATTCTGGTGTGAAGCGAGGTGTCTAAATGCCGGCGTTTGAAACTAGATTATATCATGTGTCCCCAAATTAGCTATGGAAAGATGCTATCACTCTCTAGCTATGGAGAGAGCCATCAATCTCGTGTCAACAGCTAGTTTTTTGTTACGATATAATATATAAATAATTAAACAGCTCTACGATGAATGTCTACCTTCGCAGATTTGTACAGCTTCGAAATGTAGCATTTTCTTGTTTATGATAATTTCCGTCGCAGGTGACGTGCGAATACCGCTTTGAGAATGGGGCTGCAGTTCCTTTACGGGTACATACAGTGGTCGTATCAACACAACATAGTGAAAAAATCAACGTCGATGAACTACGTGAGCAAGTATCAGAATTGGTCGTCAAAGCCGTTATACCGAAACGGTCTGTATACACGTGCATGGTCACTTTTTAAGGGGATTTGAATTATACTGTTTACGCGCAACGGAGTTCTGCACCGGGATGTCAATCAAACGTAGGCCAGTGCGTGCGTGTAGGGCTCGGCCTCAACAAGTCGATTTTGTGCTGCTTAGGCTCTTACTTACTAATTATTTCTTATACGTTAGCCTAGCCGTCCAACTTGTCAATTAATTACTACAAGTTTGTTACTACATTACTACTTTTACTACAAGGCCACCGAATCATTTGGTCCGGTCGCCCAGTTGGGTTCCCCGTTGCATCAGACGAGCCATTGTCCGAAGTGCAAAGTTATTTTCCCGCCCAACCTGCGACCCCAAGCTTTGGATATCATTTGTTTCCGTATGTCTGATAAGCCTAGCTTTAAGCAGTCTTTTCCTCTCCCTCATAAGCTCCATGATGAATCTGCCTTCCTTATTTCAGGCCTTTTCGGACAGAAATGTGTCCTATGAAGCCACAAACACCGTCTGTGAAGTAGTTACAAGGCCATAATCCGTGCTGTCGTTTCTTGTGTGTCTCAGCGCAGAGCAGCGGGCCAATGAGTAATGAGGGGCGGCTTCAAAACCTTCGGGGCATAGTAGGCAGGAGTCTGATACGCCTCGCCTTCCCGATGTAGATAGCTCTATGCTAAAATTTCAATTCAAGTGACTCCTATTGTCAAATGACGGACGTTCAAGTTGACCGTTAGCCAACGTTTTTTGCAACAAATTGTACTAAAGAAATACAGTAATTTTAGCAAATGAGCTCGTTTTTTTTAGTCAACAAGCCATTAAACAAATATCTTTTGCTTAATGGGTTAACCGAACATATATCTTATGTTCGGTTAACCCAGATTATCACCATAACTCGAGTCGCAGATCCACTTGTCTTAATGTGATCATGATTTTCTTAAAACCATGGGATATATATAAACATTTACACAGTAAATTTATATTCTCTTTGTACGATTTAATGGTCAGCTCCATCACCTGAGGCATGAATACTTCATGGCTTTGTTCTTTTTTTTAGAATACGGCTCTTTAGCTTTGTGCTATGCTTGATACAGGGTTTTTATTATGCAGTCGTAGGTTTAATTCCCGTAGGCTGATGATGTTGTATAGGTAATGCTCGAAGGCGCTTTTTGAGCATCCATGCATCTGCACTTCGTTGCGAAATGAATATTACTTTAAAAATGTCAGTGCTAATGCACTATTTGCTGTTTATATATATGCTGCATTTGCTGTTTATATACTTTATGTATCCATATTTTCCTGAAACACGATGTAGTTCAGATGAGTGAGATTTTCAAGATTTTTTCAGTCGAGTGTATCCAAAACCGACCGCGGTTATAATATTTTCAGATATTTGGATGAGCGGACAATACTTCATGTAAATCCGTGCGGCACCTTTATAGAGGGCGGCCCGATGGGCGACGCTGGGTTGACCGGTCGTAAAATTATCGTTGACACGTATGGCGGCTGGGGAGCACATGGCGGAGGCGCATTTTCCGGCAAAGATCCCACCAAGGTGAGGAGATAGAAGCTAACATTATGCTAGCCCATCTGAAGTTGCGATCTAGAAGTTGCAGTTTTACGTAAACGCGAGCTAGTTGTCGTAAAATGTATTTCATTGACTGGAATCAAATCTCTTACTGGAATCTCTTGCTTTCAAACGGATCGACATTACGATACGGATAACCGTTAATCATAGTTGGCTCAGTTCTGTAGGTATATTTTAACGGACAGCAGTCTCGAATCAGTGAATGCGGTTGGAATTTAAGCTTTTCATATCGTAGACTTCGTACCTAAGGCGCATAACTAGGAAATGTAAGTAAATAAACTAAATCATGTATATGTATGATTTAGTTTTCAAAACATATATCATCAGAACAACATATATCAGATGCGAAAAATAGCTCTGAGCATAGATCTCAATTTGATTTTGTATTTCGAGTTGCGTACTGTATATTCCCCGGCCGGAACCCGTGAAAGGTACATCTTACAACGGTCTATGATCATTCGTGACTGCATATAAACAATCTGGTCTCAGTCGGTTATAACAACACACGAAATCTTTAAAAAAAAACATGGGTTTCCATCATCGCTGCGGTAATTCCTGGTAATAGATTTTAAAGCATGTAATGGAACGACTTCACTTTGACTACTTATGTGTTTTATGGAAATTAACTACTCTAGAACAAGAGCGGGAAATTCTGTACTGGTCCAGTGTAGCACAAAAAGCGGCACTTAATCGCGAAATTTTATGTATAATTATGAAAGCCTTAGTCCAGCACATCCCACACTAAATACAGGAACTCCCCCGGCCCCTTATTACGCCGCACCAAGTTGGCGAAGATACTGGCATTAGTAGGTTTCAGTTTTGCTATATATATATATATATATATATATATATATACATAAAGCGATTAATCAGCGCTTTCTGTCCCAGGGAGTCACATTTTTTCCCTGCTCTATGCAGCCGTTGTATTTGGCATAGGTAGGTACAGTTTAGTTGAACTCAAACCTCTAGAATACGAAAACAGTTTGATCTTGTGGAGCTCAACTGTGAAAGTGGTAATGTGCTCCTTGCCACTGCTATATTAAGCAGTAAAATTCTACACGATGCTTATAGATGTGGTTTTCTGATGAAACATAGTGATGTATTTAGTCGTTTGTGCGAGTTCATTGTGTTACGTTAGTGCCTGTACTATTCCTTACCGTAAAAGGCGCACCTTGTACAGTTATACAGTCAATGATCGAGCTACTGAATTTCTCGCGTCGTGGTTGTTTAGGAAGCAAGAAAATGTTTGCGTCCTCTAGCTATACACGGTAGAAGTCATTGCCTTGACCTCAGAGCTAATAATCTTCGTAGCAGATGTACCAGATCCTAAAACCGGTTCCGCGAAAGGAAGCCATTTTGTACCTGCAACTCTTCTTAATCAATAATAATAGTGCCTTTTCCCTTGTCGTAAAGATGTTATTCAGTTCAATAACTTTGTCTATCATCGGTAAAGTTTAAGATACGTTCGTTTTTGGCTACGTTTGCCTGTCCTTATTGTCGTTAATATTATCTAAGTATTTTTTGGATGCTGATTTTTACATTGGAAAGTACCTCACTCAAAACTTGAACAATAAATCTGGTCTGCAGGTGGATCGTTCAGCTGCCTACGCGGCACGTTGGGTTGCCAAATCAATTGTCAAGGCCGGCCTCGCGCGCCGTTGTCTTGTTCAGCTTTCTTATGCTATAGGAATAGCGGAACCAGTTGCTATATCTGTGTTTACTTATGGTACTTCGACTAAAACACCTAAGCAGCTGCTGGAGATTGTTAAAAAAAACTTTGATCTTCGACCAGGGCGCATTATTAAGGAGCTTCACCTAAAAGATCCTATTTACTACAAAACGGCCGCATACGGACATTTCGGTCGGGAACAGTTTACCTGGGAAAAACCAAAGACACTTGTTATTTAGGGGGATCAGAAGATACGTTATGTACTAACTATAGGCTTTCGCACGACCTACAGAATAAATTATACTGAAAGCAATGATTCGTTATCGTTTTCATTGTAAAAAGGAGAGAATCGCTTTCTAGGAGTGAATAGATGTCAATAGGTGTTCTGTGGATCTTGAGATGTTCCCACGCAAATATGGATCTTTCATTGATATAACCTATATGAAGTCCAGTAGAAGGGTAGCGAAATGCCAAGATCCTGAGGATTTTGGATCAGTTAGTAGCTTGATGCTTTACGGGTTCATTTGTCATAATTTCTCAAAAGCCGAACTAAAGTCATCCCGAGTAAATTGTACTTCATAACGGCATATATATCTCCGAAGCGGTACGAGCTACAAATTTACGTGAACTAAAGCGGACGTTAGACACTGACCGATGCGTATTGAAGCCTGATTATATTTTTCTTCTTCTTCTTCTTATTATTATTATTAATATATTTCAAAATAACCTCTAGCTACGGTGCTTCTCCACCAATGATTCTAATGCTGCTTTTATATTTCCGATATAAATGAGGCCCTCATAGGCCGTTTTGTTCAACACCGGTATTCACAGTAAAGGTGATAACTAGATAACGTAATATTAGTCATTTCAATTTAGCCTATTGCTCTAGTCTCCTGCAGTAATTACGTATCCAAAGTACACATTAGCTAGGAAATTTTCGGTAGCTATTTGAGTGAATACTCTGTACGTACTTACGCACGTAAGGAACTATATAGAATCGTCCATATCATTGCCGCTGGTTCAACCACTCGTCTTCGAAACGTACATGCACTCGGTCGTGAAACTACTATGAAATTGTGTGAACCTAGTGTATATATTGGATATGGAAAAGAGTAATCTATCTAAAATCGTGTCGCTGGTGTAGTAGTAAGTGTCCTCTTGATCATAGGGCCAGTGATAGATAACGAAGAGACAACATAGCATCTAAGTATCTAAGACTATCTATACTACCGTTATTATATCAAAGAGTTGAGGTTCTTCCTTGCGACATCAACGCACGACGCTTACTTTATTTACGGTTTGTTTGTTGGTATTCTTTTTCTAGCTAATTGATTTTCTCATTTGCCATGAAATGCGCATTTCATAACAAGTTCTTTGTTACGATCTTAGGTGTTGTCCTAGACTAGAGAATTGTTATAACCTTTAACATCAAAGGCGTTCACTACAGTCGTGTATGACACACGGATGCGTACGACATTATCTCGTTCGCTCCATCTCAAGTCCTTCACTCCGCAGCGCCGGACGTAAACGTCACCGATGTGTCGACAACCTGCCATTCTACCTCTACGTGCTGGCAGTGTGACGACGACACTCTAGCAGCACGTTTTGCGCTGGCATGCCCTCTCTGTCGCTCTCGCTCTCTCTCTCTCGCTCTCTCTCGCTCTCTCTCGCTCTCGCTCTCTCTCGCTCTCTCTCTCTCTCTCTCTCTCTCGCTCTCTCGCTATCTTTCTTCCTTTCGCTCGCTCGCTCTCTCTCTCTCTCTCCTGCAATCAATTTGCCCGCAAATGACCCACCGGTGCGGCCTAAAATAAGGGGACACCAGCGCCTTGAGTCGTAATGACGTTGATTCAGGAACCGATCGCTTGTCTTCTTTAGTCAACTGTCGTTTGTTCTTGGATAAAATGTTATCGATTTATGTGAAAAAAAGAAATCGATTATAAAAAATTTAACATTTTCCCTTCAGTAATCTGTTTTCTCACCCTTCGACGACTTCGGAGGAGCAACACCCACTTTATGTTGCCAGTCCTTTGTCGACGACATGATGGAAAAATGGACGTAGAGAACAGGCACCTCTCTACATTTGCAATCGATCTCGTCTCAAGGAGCGTTGTTCAATCTACTGACACCAACATTTCACTCACTCAACGCGGTACACAGTTAATCCCCTGTCGCTTGCAATGGCTAGGTTTTCGCTTTGTCAGCTATATAGAGCGCTTGCGTGTACGCGTGTATATATACGCTGTTTGGCTGTGCCGCTAATTTTTATTAATTCTTATAATATGATTACTGTTTTTTGTTGTTTTTATTATTATTATTGTTTATCACTAGTTGTTTGTTGATTGTGTGTATTTGATTTCTTTTGTTTCATATTGTTACTGTTATCGGTAGGAGATGGCAAACGTTGTTGTATGTTCACCGTTGTTATTATTACATTTCTGTTTGTGTGTGTGTATACTTTCGCTCTATTGAAGCTAGCCTGGCATCGTTGATTTCAACACAAAATATTCAGCAAGATAATAGAAATAGTAATACTAGCTGTTTCCAAACTAGAGTTACGATGCCCTACCGCCGTACTCATCAAGTTGTGATAATTTGTTGCTATTGTTATGAAGGCTTGGGTGATGTTTTTTTTTGTTTGTCTGTTTCTCACATTGTCGTTATTGTTGCTATCGAGCTGGTCGGAGCTACTATATAACAACATCACAGAATACCATATCTTTAATCACGAGGACGATACGGCTGAAGAGGTTAACACACGACATTGATCAAATGACTGCAACATTTCCTTTCCGAGAGAATCGCACCATATACAAATATTAATATATATAGTACATAATGTTGTGTTTTTCTTATCTCTTAATCTTGTTTACTATTCGTTCTGTTTTCCCCTTTGAACGGCCCTTTACATCTTCGGCGCCTCATTCATCTCAGCACCTTTCTTTGTCACGTTTGTTTGGCCTTCGTTTACCAACGCACGCATGTGTTATGCTGACGCTATTTGACATATTACATTGCCTAGTTGTATTTGTTTAATATTTAATAAATGTGTTGGTCTTAGGTCCGCTGAAACGGTCATCTAGTTCTCCGTCTGTCCATCCATCCATCGGCCAGCGGGCCGCCGGCGCCTAGCTCCTACCGGCCCTGGCTCTGTCCTAGCTATCACAATTCGTTCATTAATTACCTTTCTTAACAACCTACACTATCTCATCATCACCACCATCGTCAGCATCCTCATTACAAATGAACCTTCAGATTCTAGGCGTCCTTACTATGCCCGAAGGCAATCTGAATTGGCACACTCATTTCTAATAACCGTTACTAACATTACTACTGCGTTAATATTATTTATGATATTATGTTCATATTGTTAAGGTGTCTCAGAGTAGGAAGCGATGATTACCTGATTAGTTCAGCATAGTTAAATTTTTATGCTTGGGTTTGGCCTGAACTAGAAGCATCACATTGAAGGGGAGCCGGCTCGTGTTTCTGGATAGTCTCCAAAAAGCATTTGATGTACGATACGTTTATGAATAGTCATTGCCGTTACTGTTAAACGTACTGAGTATGCATATATTTGTATGTGGTTCTGCGTGTGCGGCTGTGTCTATATATGTATATATAGTTATACACTTATATATATATATATCGATATCATATATATTTATATATATTCGGAATAGCAAGGATGAGAATACAATGACAGGTGTAAGAATGATTAAATTCATATGTCAACGCAATCACTGGTTCCACGCCGTTGGTCGACTTGGTTGTATGTAGCAGCCATGTCCCAGTAGAATGTAGGCACAAACCGAAATCAAGCACTAGATATTCAACACAACTAAATTTAAACTACAGACTTTTGCTTTGTTCAGATCAACAGAAATAGTAGCGAACAGGCAGAGTTCAACAACGGACGAAAACCCTAGACGTCTCCGGGAAGACTTCATTTGAATAGGTTGGACCGTTTTAGGCTTCACAACCGCAAGCCCATTAGTCTGCAGCCGTTACTGTCTCCCAGCTATTCGGTTCTACCGCGGATTAATAGCGGACCAGTTATAGACCTACCTTGCAGACAACTCGACGAGATGCGAGCGGACCAGGCTTGAAAACGTCGTGGATGGTTTTACAGTGCCATTGTCTTAATCTAGATGGAAGTTAAGAATCGTGGTCGCAAAAAATTTGCAATTGTTCTTGCACTTCCAAAGGATAGACGACATAGCACAGGACATAGTTTTGTTGTCTAACGAGTCCTTAGCGCTGCAGATAGCAGAAGTGTACAGGCCCGCATTGTTCGTGTTATCATACTGTTGCTGCGGGACCTAATAATTTGAGCCAAACTCTCGATGATCTTACTCGCGCGGTGCCTGATCTGGGTGCTTTTGTTATTACGACGACACTGTCAAAATCTTAAATTAAGCGGTTTAGTAGGACTGCATTGCCAATCTGCCTCGTGCAGAGACGTCCTTTAATTCGTTTTCGCCGCCATTGACAGCATTTTCTATTCCTGCGGCCGCGCACTGCTTTGCCTGTTTTTCTGTAAAAAAAAAAATGGCTTATTTAATCTATTCACTCAGTCAAGGAAGACTATTTGCTCATCACTAGGCCGTCTGTATGTGCTGACGCGAGCTGGTCGGGTTGTGGTCCTGCGGTCGTCGTTAGCACTTATCTGTGAAGAAAGGACGGTAAGCAAACCTAAACGTTACAAACTGTTCAGTATTGAGACGTAGTTGCCCCGTTAAGTCAATGCAAGGTGTCGAGTATTTTTCGCAAACTGATAGCTACTTCAATTCACCACATTGGGTAACATCACATATGTTGCCTTTTTTTTTTCGTCTATATTTAGCAATATTAGATATTCATTCCATATCTCTGAGTCACCTATTTCGAGGTATAGCATCAAAAACTTTCCCCATTAGGAGTCTAACCAGGATGGGTCTTGCTGAACTTATACGAGGTTCCTCCAACAGACCCATGAAACGGCATGGCAACCACACAAGCAGCTATCAACTATTTACGTTATCTTCCTTATTTTTATAGCTACCAGCATCTAATACTCATTTCTGCTTCAAATTTGAACCAATGTTATAGTACGCTTGTTAGTTATGGTTGCTATGACAACGCACTCAAAGAGATACGCGATAGCCACTCGGACCACGCCGTCCCACATCGGTTCTGCGGAAGCAAAGAAGGGCAGAAGTTTAACGCTCAGAAAAATGAACAAATCCAGCCTAATTTTACTAAAAAACAAAAATTATTCTACGCGTTTGTGCGATGACCTACCGCAATTCCTGGACCCCGTGAGATGGCCAGGAGTTCACCGATGTTCTGCTTAGTGGATTCCTCGTTTTGTAGTGGTCGTGCGCAGTACTTTATGTATAATGTGGCGGCACAAAGTTACATGTTGGACAAAACAGTAGAAAAGTAAACAAACGCTTAAAATTGGTTATTGACACAAACACATGAGTTGTTCAAGTAGGAAAGAATCATGTTTCTTTCTTAACGATTCCTATAGCGTGTTTTGTTCGGCTATACGAGTCATACAAATTTTTATCCGCCTTACATCATGGCGTGCATAGACCGAATTCTTGTTTTTGTTGAAAATGTCAGTTGGCGACAGAAACTAACACTGGGGTGGTTGCACGGAACAGTTCCTACGACTCGCGTATATCAACGGTATGTACACTGCGTCGGGAAGTGCAATAAATCTTGTTAAATTTATTAGCAGATTCTTCGCTATGGCAGACCATCTAAAGCCAATCCACCTACTTGAATTATTTGGTCATAGGTGCACGACTTTCGACAGCACTCCTCAACGATTCCATCTTCGCTGCGTCTTATACGCCTCTCGTAACTTCCAACTGCTGAAAATACGAAACATTTACATCGTTGTTGATTGATCAACGTTTACCTCCTCTCTGGTCCTTTTCGACGACCTTTTCCAAGGTTGCAAACGATTAATATGCGGATAGGTCAAGTCTGACTGCCCGGTTAAATTGACATTCCTTGCTATACTATAATTAACAGTGGTTCTTACACGTCGCTTTACCTTCCCGATCAACTCAGCCAAATAGATACTTTATTCGGTTAGCTAGCCGACTATATACGCAAGTATAGCTAGTAAGCAATAAAAAAAAAGCACGGTTTTTAGAAATACACGAAAATATAGATAAAAATGTATGCAAAATCAAGAATTATTGTCTACCCTGAAAAATCATTATTTATTTTGGTAAGGTTTTTTGAGGTTTAGAGTACACGTTCGGAACTTAGCTTCATCAATGGCTTGGCATTGTGCGCATGCATATTATGGAAATGATAGGATCTTCGTATAGGAATGCTAGACCGGATGAAAAATCTCAGAATATATATATATATATATATATATATATATATATATATATATATAGAAGGATTTTTGCAGCCCGCTTATCGCAGGTTAGTGTGAGCTTCAATGAAGTTTCGGCATTCTTAGCAGCATCGATACTTTCGTCTGGTGTAATTCTCTGTTCGCTGCCAAGAGAGTGTGGCGAAATGGGGTCCTTTCTGTGGGAGACACGCTTTATTAAGAACAACTAGTGGCTTAATCTAGTCCGCAACAAAGATGAACGAAAGCGTAAAGGAACAAGCAAGAGTAAAACGCAATTATTAAGCAGACGAACACACTGACAGTTTCCACAAATGCGGACTAATACCGTGGCCGCTCTGATAGATGCCAGCGACAACGATAAACGTCGTAATTTTACATACTCTCGCCCACTATTTTTAACTCGTAGAGCACGATACATAAGCTAACTTCTCGTCTCAGGTATTACAAAAATACCTCTTTCGAGTAGTCCGCTACGCCTTTCCCGCGGCTCGTAGATACCTCCGCGGTTCTGGCAAATCATAATGGCGATGTCTGACAGCCGATTTCCGCAAAGCTTCCATCGCGTCACAGCAACACTTTCACATTGGCTGCCTACGAGGGTCAACGCCACAATAAGGGCCCTTAGCAGGATGGCACGCGATACTGTGATACTTCCGTACATCTCGTGCCAGACACTGTCCAGTCGCTGCTGATGAACGAGGATGCACACCTGCTAAGCTCACCTGTAACAGAATTAGAAAAGGACGAACTAAAAATCAACGCCATAATTTTAACTCTGGCTATCGTTTAACTACCGTTCTTGCAACGATCGGTCATTTGCTGTTACCACTGCAACCCTCGACAGGGCCGGGAGATATTTCTTAATGTACGTTTGTCTCATACGAGGGCGATGAGTCATTTTTTATACACCTCTAAACTACTTAAACACTGATACGTAGGGACAGTCGTTACGCGGGCGTCTGTTTGTACTTTCGTAGCGTATTGGATAAAGATGTATCGTTCGTCGAAGTTTGTGCTCATTTACATAAAACCCCGACACTTGTTTTACTTCGTATATGTACCAGCCAATTTTTTTTTTTGAATTTTACGTTTGCTTACTGTTGACATAATCTGAAAACGTGCCTCGCACGTTAGCTCTGCTCGTAGACCCTATTTTTGGCTAAGAGCAAGGTAAACGCTGTTCAGCACGCTTCGCTATTTCACCAACACAAAATCGAATCCGCTTCGGCCCTGATAGATCCATTGGTATGAGATCCACCACAGACCGCTTCTCAGCACTCGCCCACTAGGTCTGAAATCCATTTTCGTCGCACGTTTTGTATGTCTAGCGACCCTATGAATTTCAGACAATTTCTATATATATCGAAATAGACCGGCTCCGTATTGAGTGCTTTACTTTTCTTTGCAAAGAAAAATAGAAATGTGTAATTAAATCAAAAGCGTCAAGCCTGATCAGGCTCTTGTAATGACTGACCTATCACTGTGTGTGACCTAGCGCGAAGATATACGTATGGCTACAAACGGTTGATTTCGAACTAACGGGAAAATACTACAAATTAACACTGCGACGTTACAGTATCTCTGGGGGTGCCAGGCAACGAACATGGCTGTGATGGCTGCTGTATTCGAAAACTTCCCAACAAGTTCCAATTCAGACGAGATTATACTTACTTTAAATCTATCGGGTTATCGAATATTATTTCCGCCGATCAATGACACATTCGAACCGTATCACGACTGATAAAAGCCGTTATACGAAAGATGTTGGAATATTTCAACTACCTTTTAGTATAAACGAACAGTCGACAACATCTAGTATAAACGAAGTGTAGGATTAGGCCACAAGGACGGCGTTCGGCACATGAGTGAGTACCAGAAAAACGGCTTCGTTCGTGGCCTACACAAAGCACCAGTAGGTAAGTCCGCCAAATCTTTGCCCTCGTTCCATTTATGCACTTTGTTTTTGAAACCGAGTTGGTTCGCTGCCCGCGATGTGCGCCGTTTACTAACGAAACAAGTCCGTCCCGCTCTCCCATCTCGTGGCGGAATAACTGAGCATCCAAGCTATAAAAACAACAATTGAATATATTGTGAGGCGAAAGGTGCAATTTATCATGAACTTGATTATGTATGTCCTGCCGCTAAATAAACTAGAAAGGAAGCCCAGTTTAACATCGCACATAACTCAATCCGGATCTCAATTTTCGTGGTTACACCTATCCTCACGTCAAAGATTCCGGATTTCGGAGCGAACGACTGCTATGTAACCAGCTGATTAGAAATAGCTTTCATAAAATTAATTTTCTATATTATAAACTAGGCTTGCGGAGAACAGCAGCAACGAATATTGAATTTTTCAGGCGCATTTGTTTTTGAAGGACCAAGTCAAGTAAGGTAGCGACTATATCAGTAATTAACGATAACTTGAATCAGTAAGTTTAGATAGCCGGGCTAAACTAAAGTCGTTAGCAAGAAACGTACAATATTTATTATACACAAAAAGTCATTTTTGCGTTAAAAGTAGCATTAATTGGCAAACAAATAAAATTAACACAATAAGATAGCAATTAATGTACGTTTCTCTCGAAAATATCTTAGTTGCATACTATTGATAATACGAACTACACCATCTGGGTATCTGTGCAACGTCGAATAACGTAGAAAAAAAAATCATAGTCTTCCATGGTTACTTAAACCGTCTAAGATCCGTCCGTACGAGGTGTCATACAAAGAAGGTTACGGATACTGGTTCCCACAATCAAGGTCATGTGGCGTATTTTACGGTAGCTGCTACTTTATGCGTTACGGCTTTTTCCCACGGCTGCAAAACTCGAGTACATTTTTCCTGTTGATTGAGCTATCTAATACGTGTTGCCACATATATATATATGTTATGTATCATGAAAGCTATATTGGGCAATTTTTTATCATGACCACGAAAAACCTAAAATTAGCTTAATAAATTACAATCAGATGTCTAAACAGCTCCATAAATTTGTTGTTCCAAAGCATAAAAAAAAAGATTAACATCTATTGGTTCGCATCAAGTGAAGAAAAGGACGAACAGAGAATAATGCGGTACATTTAACGGACATGGCTATTTACTTAAAGGAAGAAAGAAGTCAATCTTCCCTGCCACGAGAATTACCCACCAGAGAGTTACTTCTAATTAGATAGTGAATCTGTTTCATACATATGACTGGGTCTACCCCACCGTATTATTAAAGCGTACCTACATACGTATACAGAAATGGGAGACATTTGTTTGAACCCGGCCCATCGTCGATGAAATCAGCTCTGCAGTGTTACATATTCGAAAAGCGTTCAATAACAACGAGTCGCCAGCCGTAACAATTGAATCAACAAGTTCTGTTATTAGTACACACACACAACACGCGTACGTCTCTATATTTAGTCTCAGCTTGGCCATTTATCTCCATCATCGGTCATGATGCTGATCAACTGATTGACTAACTGGTCATTAGTGGTAGGCCGACTGGCCATCAGCGTCTCGTGGGCATCTGAGCGCAGGGTGACAAGACGGCGAGGGCAGCGTCGGAGACAAAAGAGTTTAAGAGAGAAATAGCATTGTCAGTAGCAGATGTCCCTATGACGGCTGATTGAGGTGATAACAGCGGCGGCAGTTGTTATTATGGACGTAAACTAACCTACAGAACCGCACGAGGGTGCTGCTTTACTCGGTCAGTCTGCCATGGACGACAGTGAGACGGTCGCTCAGACACATTAATACGAGAGACTGCGGCCGCCGCCACCGCCGCGGTGGTGGAACGGGATGTTACGCTGAGTCAAAATAGTGTACCATCATCACCAGTTGTCTATCTATTCACCTATTTAACTCTGTCGATCTCGATCCATCGCGTCCGGCATTGAAGCAGAGTTAATTCAATTGATTCAGTAAACAAACTCACTGTTCAGGCCAACATTGCGCTGATCGGCCCATGTTATCTCCTGGTAACATTAGAGATATTTCCTTTTTCTGTTATTGTTATTTGAAAAGCAATTGGAATTGGGAGAATGTGAAGTAGGGCCCGTTGTGAGGATCAGTACAGCCCGACACAGTCAGCCGTCACTATAATCAAATTTCATAGTCACCTAGGTAACTAGCTTTGATCGTTCCTTAAAAGTAGGCCCTTTGTAGTGTGACTTCCACTAGATACAATTCGTTGCTTCAGAGAACGTCAATTTTTCTGCGCGCCCAAATCAAAAGAATTGGGAAAAGGCTGTCTCTAAATAAGTACGAGTGCATAGGGCATAAATAAGTAGGTGAAGATTTTCAAACTGACGGCAAAGACGCGAAGAAATTATACTATAAATCGCACTTTCGTTATCGTAGATGAACGCTATCTGATGAACACAGATATACTTCGCTATAACTGTTTGGACGCGCCAAAATAGAAGGCTCTATGTCGATGTGGGAGAGTTCGGTTCTGAAGTGATGAGTTCGACTGCGAAAATCAACAGATTTTCACCAGAACATAGATATCTGCCATATCTGTGCGCGTGTGGGTGGCGAGCACGCGCTATGCACTTCGCTTCTACAATGCTACAAGGGCTTACATAATTGATAATACCTAACCAGACAGAAATGAACGTACCCAATTACTTTAGTATACCCTCGCACACAGGGTTCGGTCTGTTATTCCATTAGCGCGCTGGCGCTATAGTTGTAGTAGAAATGGAAAAGCCGTGAAGATATTACTGACGCCGCGAATGTCGAACCGTACCATCTATATCGAATCGCCTTAGGCGTCCGGGGTCCTGACTAGCAGCGTTTGTTTTCTGTACATGTCCAAGACCTATTCGTCGTGGTCGCTTTAGCCTGCTCTGGGTATGATAATGATGTTTATTATCGTAGATACTTCATAGACTTCTTGTTCCGCTTCGCGCTTAAGTAGCTTTTGGGCATACTCTTAACGGTCAACTTTTACCCTCCGATAATGGCGGAATTTTTATGTTCTTTTTTCAAGAGAGATATTTGCATGTAAATGTGTTATTGCTTCCTTCGATAAAATCTCATCATAGTTGTTGTGGCTATCGGCTTCGTCAAGCCGATAGGATGTTTACCCATCATCTTTGATTCTCGGTAGGTTAGGGTTGCTTGGTAGAACAGAAACCGACAAATCTCTGGTAGGCACTACTGTTTAAGATATGTTTATCTTTATCCTTTATCGTAAGATAGGAGAGATGAAAGGCTTTCGTGGCCGTCCTCAGAGGCAGTGGAGTTGTAGATCAATTGCTAAGCACTGATATATATACTCTTTCGAAGATATATTTATAACATTAATCATAAGAGTAATCTGGGCTGAAAATGAAATACAAATGGCAATGCAAGATGGCTCTCAGTTTCACGCGCTCAGCGTATTGCTGCTCACGCTGGTTTTAATTTTGCTGTCAACTGTTTTCAGCACTCGTTTCCGTACATCAGCCGCCATCCAGATCAAATGAAGAAATTCACTCTCACAGACACAAACGAAGACACCAAAGAAACTAGAGAAACAGGCTTCTACTCGTAGAGAAGCACACAGACGCACACGCACGCACCATATTACTTTCGTAGGTGCCTTGTGAGGTTTTTCTTAAACTCGGCGACGCTCCCTTCGGCCTCGTTACGACACAAGCATTTTCGCTCGTTCAGTAAAGACAACCTTGCCGTTTGCGTAGCCTGCTGCTATTCGCTCAGACGCTGTTCACGAAGTTTTCATTTCTCAGCGCCTGATTCTACCTGGCCGATTTCACGGGGGCAGAGTGGCTGCGGCGGCTATAGAACGCCACCGCGGTTCGCTGACGCTTGCTGCTGCGCTGCCCTGAAGCGGACGCATGGAACGGATAATGGCCGATACGACGATTAGCTAGAGAAGTCAGGCGTTGATGATGATGGCGGTGATGACGACGACGAAGAAGAAGCAGATGAGATCAAGCGGCTTCAATCCCGAAACGGCAGCAGCATCATCACCAAAATGGGCAGCGACGGCAGTAGCGGCAGGGACTAAGCTAGCCAACACTCGAACGGACTCGTGAACCCAGACGACGAGCTCGCGGGCCCGTTCAGCGGCGAAAACCCGTCCGGGCGAGTCCGAAGAGGCCCAATAGGCAACGGGCTAGACTTCTCCAATACTGCTGCTGCCGCCTCGACGGGAATCTTTCGGTGCTTTCGATATGTGAGTGTGTGTGTGTGTGTGAGCGTGTGTGTCTGTCTGTGTATGTGTAGTACGAGTTGCCCGAGGGAATGCGATTGCGCCTGTGATATTAGGAGACGGTAGCGCTCGATGCTGGCCGCGGCCGTGACCACAGTGCTGCAGCAGGCAGGCAGGCAGGCAGGCAGGCAGGCAGACAGACTTGACAAAAATGAATGATGATTGATTCCTAGGGTTATGTACGTGCGCCGATAATGTACCGTAGTGTAATTGGTCAGTCACTTGGTGCTCTGCACCGGCGAAAAAGCGTCACTTGCTCTTGTGCTGTATAGAAGCCAGTGGCTGCTCGAGGCCAGCCAGCCGGTTCCGCGACCGAGCTGCTGCCGAGTGAGCGCCTCCAACGACCAAAAACTCACGCAACAGCAACGGGAGAAAAGCATCCGTGAGCACCGTTAGCATGACCGATTGCAGCGACGCCTGGACCTGGAGAGGGAGTGCAGGGAGAGAATGCAGAGGCCCCCCGCGTGCCGCGGCAAGAGAGCCTCTTCAACACGGAGCGCCGCTGTGAGCCGCCGGCCTGCCCGGTTCGACGACGGTCTGCGTCGCTCGGGCCGGGCTCGCGTGTTTGTTAGTTCTCATCATCCTCTCTCCCCTCTCTTTTGTTTCTGCCTTCGCGCAGCGACAGAGGCTCTGTTTGTGTATGTGTGGGTCTATGAATGTGTGCGAGTGCCTCGTTTTGTGTCTGTGTCTGTATTGGTGTGTGTCTGTGTGTGTGAATGTGTGCGTCATCTCGGTCCCCAAGGGTGAAGGCACGCTGAAGGTAGAGGAGCGAAGTGTGATGGGGACCAGGCTAAGCAGCTCGGCATATCTTCAGAATCTACTTGCGTATATTTTACGATAAACACTAGTGTACAACATATCCTCGACCCTGTGCTCAGGAAATTACGCTACTGATGGAGTTGGTACCTATCGCTTCTCAGCTCACTTTTCTGATTTTTTTTACAATTGCCTAAAAATGTTCACTTTTATTGTGCTCTTAAGCATTACTACTGATGTGATTACTGTTGTTAATAAGATGATTAGATAGCCCAGGTATGATCTGGCCTTATCAAATGGTCGTAGCAATTAAACCTTCGGGATTAAACGTGATGCTTCTCCACCTTTTTATATCATTTTTACTTTGATCTGTAATTTGGTCACGGTGTGCTTCTTTTTGAGCAAAACGATGCTTACCACAACAGAAACAAATAAATTTTGACTTACAGATGGTAGGCTTGAATATCACTATTATTATTATTATTATTATTATTGTTATAGGAAGGTTCGTTAAGAAATTAAAGGCAAAACAAATTCAATAAATGCTTAGCGGTATCGACACCAGTCGCTGTGGAAGCATAGGAGATGGGGTGCGAGTCAGCAGCTCAACGGAAATTTGGGGTTTGTTGAAATTTTGCGAGTCCTTCTACAATGTTCCTGATAAAGTATTATTTAATCATATTTGTATACTTTTAATATTGTATGCTATGGAGCATGTAAAGTAGATCCCTGCTAAACCACACGAAGCAATAAATTATATTTTGACTAACAAACATTTCTTTCTATGATCACGCAGTGCTGACGTGTTTAGTTGCAAATCTGAGAAACACGTGAGGTCTAAAGCTGGGCGTAGACCCACTTATTTTAACGTGTCAAATCAGCTGCCTGAAATAATGCTCAAAGCTAGTACCTAACGTAGAATCTCCACTTAGGCGAACATTGCGAAAAGTATCTTGGTTTCAAAAGGAAAATCTCAATTGAAATTCCGACTATAAGGTTTTACTTCTGTAGAAATCAACTCGTATCCAACTGGACTTTAAGATCACATGAGCTATGAAATTCATTAAACTTGAAAATATAAACTTTAAACTATAGTAGAAATAAGGTCAGGATCAGGATGTTGAACCGGCGCTTCTAGCTACTAAAAACTAGAAGCCAAACGAAAGGGTTTCATTGTATATATGTAGGCCCATTAAAGTGAAGTCCGTATGCTTCGCTAAGGTGCTACTTTGCCAGCTAGTTGGAGACCTAATACTTAGCTAAACTGGAAAGCTACTTTTTTGAACAATGTTATGAGACGCTTAATACCCTACAGCTTGATGGGCTATAAGGCCTGATTGAACTAAATATCGCAATCTAAGAACGTACAAAAGCCGACCGTTTTTTGTGGAGTCCACAAAAAATACAACAGATATCTTTGCTAAATGTTTTTGTCATGCTTAAATAGACAATTGGATGAAAATTTTCATACAGCAGCCGTTCAGTTCCTGGTCTTTCCTATCTCTACAAGAAGGTGAACGTTTATTTACATTTTCCCCTTACGTAATTCTCAGTCATAAGGCTGGCGTACATTGACATCGACTCCGTGAAAGGAAAATTGCGATCAGTCAAATCTGGTTGCCTGAACGTTTGTTACATGCTATAGAAGATGATCATTTGGTTCAGGGAACAGCCGATATAGATTGCATTCATCAGAAAAGCCTGCATAGACTTCTCAGTCACCCTTTAGCATTTATCATTTTAGCACTTCGGAGAGCTACACGTAAGGAATGACTTAGGCCAAGACAGACATTGTTTTGCGACAAGGCTTAGTGATTTAATTACAAGGTCGATTTGCGCCGGCTATCTTCAAATGGCATGATCAGCCTATCATTCGCCTTTTGATCGTTGATTATTATTGCAGCGTATCAAAATCGGCCACTCTAATAGCTTCCCCTTTGATCTCCCCCTCTCCCTCGCTCCCTACCTATCTCTCTCTCTCTCTGTTCGAGTCGTTGCTGTTTTCTTTGGCCACATTAGCAGGTTAGTACGGCGGCCCAGCAACAAATGTTTGTAGACGCATCGTTTTACTACACTAACATACATAATCAAAAATTCAACTAGGAAGGAAACTATTCCGCGTTCTTCTGGTATTTGTAGAGACGACCCGTTCATGTCCAGACAGTGTGTTAATATTTTCTTGTCACTTTTCTTTCGTGCCTTTATTTTTCCATCTTTGATTCAATGTTACTGCATCGGCCCGCCAAACGGCGTGGTGTATTCCAAGGGGGCAGTGCTGTCACACTTAAAAGCGCACTAAATAAGCGGTTAGAGGCCGATGGTCGCCGTCAACAAGGTCTTTGCTTTCCGTCGCCGCCCGCGCACAAATTGCCTTGCCTCAAATTAGAAACACTGGTGCAGTCTGACGACACTGAAGACCGCACGTTCAACTCCAGCGTCGCTCACATTGCTCGAGTATCACGGCAGTACACATGGCCTATATAGTAACACCAGTGGCTTCGTCACTAGGAAGAGCTGTTACAAACGACGAAACAAATGCGCTGAAATATAGTTCCAACGATCGACAGCTGGACCTGCGCTGTCGTAGCGCCGTTTGAGTGTGGATCGAGGCGAGTCGCTGATGATTGACAGACATTCTGTTATCATTATAGTTTTTTATCGTTATTAGTCGGTGATGCTATTGCTGTTGGCGGCGATACCAGAACTGAGAAAATTGACAGCGCGATGTCTGCTTCCTTCTCCCTTAACCGAGAAGAGTAGCTGGCGGTCTTTTTAGCTATCGTCGTTCTTCATAGTACTGATGCAGCATCGTTCATTGGTCTAGCTGGTTATTGATGGTGCTATATAAGCCTGGCGCGTTCCTTTCATCTGTATGTGTGCACAATATGGTGCGGAAATATGCCGTCTAGACCGTGAAGGCGCTCATGGATAAGCGACGAAATGACAGTTGCCATTCCGTTGAAGGTCCGTTTGCTTTTAGGCTATTGAAAGGAAGCGAATTGCGCGGCACTCCCGCTGAAGAGAGTCCGACGGTAATTGTTGCAAACTCGAAGCCTGGCTTTCCTCCCCGATAAAGCACCGGCGGGTTCTGATTGAGTAATTGAGCGTCAGTGATCGTACTGGTTTAGCAGAATTAGCTTAACAGTACGTCCTTCATATTTCTTTTGGTTTGAAATTAGTTTAATAATCATCTATTCGTTCGACCCTGTTCCTCCTTGCCAACAACTCCTGTTCTCGTTCTCCTCCTTCCATTTGCCGACACCTCAGACATCGCCGACGACGGCATCGAACCGGACCAATTGATAGTTTATCATATAACTACGAAACGCTCCGGCCACCCTGCACGTTTAATTACTACGGCATCGTCAAGAAGCGACGACATCGTCACGGTGAGTACAGGAATGAAGGCGAAACGAACCGACCGGGCCCAATTGTCTCGATCAGGACACGGTCATAACTGGCCAACTAGAGGGACGAATCATATAAAGACGCCTAGTCAGACCGTATTCGTCTGTCGTACAACTGTTAATACGACAACGATTGCGTTCGACGACTTCACTCAGTTGACTCAGATTTGCATTGTTCAGCTCATTCGAAGCACGGAAGCGGTTCAGCTGCCAGCCTCGCTACATGCCATCAGTGACGGCTGTATGTATTCTGCTTCAAGGGTAAAAGCTCGATTTCAGTCGACTTCTGGTCCATCAGGCATCAACAAAGCTAATAGACTTCATCGTATGCCAATTTTCGTTTATCGTCTCATAACAAATACGTCGGATATCGATTATCAGCGATTTTCAAATCGTCACCATCCCTATTTTTCAAAAAATTTATCAGACGAGCAGCCGATTGAATCTTGGCTAACTTTAGAGCATGGTGTACAATGCAGAGAAAAATTTTCCTTCGAAAGAAATATATATGTACGCATATAAACTTATTTGGTAGATCTTGCTTCAAACGGTTCATTGTCCACAAGCCACACGTCGACACAGTTCTAAACGCACTCAGTACTATACGTCTTTTTTTTTTGCGATCAAAAACAAACGGCCCTTAAGCCAGAACACAAGGGTGCTTTAAAAAAGGCCTTTAAATGCAACAATAATAGTCGATACCGTTAGAATACCTCTATTCAGAGTTCCTGCTCGCGCATCTCTCGGGTGTGAGTAAAATCCAGACATCAACTCTCAGCTAGTTTTTTTGCAGTGCCTTAAATTAGTTCCTTTTTTTTTTAATGCATTGGTGTCACGTGAAAGCTACACACTAATCCATAGTGGCAGCTGCTGATTTTCCATACGGGAGCGTATCTACGCCTACGACTAGCGTTTCGAGCTAAACAATCGACTTTCTTAGTCAGTTTATCATGTGCAAGCACTGAACCGCAGTATACTCTATAAATCTATACCATTTATGTAATACAGGCAGCTTTAGCAGATAGGCTGTTCCTTGCGGTGCACAAATCAAAATCGCTCTGCGTCCACGTTTCAAAGGCCTATAGTTACGAAGACATGGTCAAAGTAATATATATCTATAATCTGTAACAATAAAGGAGCAATTCTATTAAGCGAACGCTTTCCCTTAAACGCTGGCGCATTCTAACGCGTCGTTGCAAAACAGGACAAATCCATAAGGGTATTAATTTAGTCGGCTTACGAAGGTGTGGAATAGACCGAACTCACATTCTAGAAGATTGAATCGTGCTATCTTAAATTAGGTCCTTAAGAAAAAAGGGTAGGTCCACATAATAATTGCAATACTTGTTAGTGCGGCTTCGAATGTACGCTACTACATAGATGTGACGCTGAAAATAGGGACGAGGTATCAACAACAGACGATTTGCCCCACGTTACCTCACGAACGTCAACTATACCATATATTTATCTCCTCTGCCCACATCCTTTTCGGTTAAGAACGAGTATAATACTTGATAAAGAAGCACGGAAACGTTCATGAGATAGTTTGGGCAGACAGTTAACACGTTACCCGGATTCAATTATTTTGTAAGCTAGTCTTCCATAATCGTTTATACCATAACATAATATACCATGTCTTTCTTACGCAAATCATTTAAATATTAACGCTTTTTTAACATTAAAGAGAAGCATCTTCAAAGGTGCTAGTTGTTTTTTAAATACCTAAATAATTTTTTCAA